TAAATATTCTTGTGAATACACTTCGCGCCGTTTTCTGTTTGATTTTTTGATAATTATTTACATTAGGGGACAACTCCGATGACCTTGACCTTAATATATGTTATAGAGGTGAGAGTATTCAACGTTTCCTTATAACTTAATTGGCGGTCTTAGTTTTTGAGATATACTTATATAAATGTTAGTAAATTATTACATTAGGAAACATAGCTCCGATAATCTTGACGCGGACATATATTGTCAAGGATACTCTCCTGAGTAGTGTATAAATAGTAGTAATAAAGAGTAGTAATAAAAAGGTTTTAATCAGTAGTTATTGTTGCGACGGAATAGCGACTAGAATCATATCACAAGACGCCGCCGCAGACGTATCTTAAAAATACATATGTCGCGGCTCTCTTTGTATTCTTGCCCTTGTTTATATCGTCGAGCCACTACGTTTCGCGGCTCGAGGAACTTCGCGACAAGGACAGAACGCCGCCATAAGATCAGGCTGTGATTGGCTGGATTGCAGCTCCCGATTTTGTTATATATATAAGCTCGCATCTGAATACGGGCAGATCGAATTTGACAAGCGTGGTACACAGATCCGTGCGATAAGAGATAGTCTGTGAGGCCGAGTCCTCAGACATTTCAGTATCAAGCGAGGCCGAGTCCTCAATCAGTTCTGTAGTACGCGAGGCCGAGTCCTCGATCATTACCGTGTGAGAATAATATATTCAGAAATAGTATTCGGGGCAACCTCCCGTCTACAAACGTGCCTGCAACGAATTGTTGGGCGCGACATTTTGGTGCCTCCCGTGAGGTCGTGCAAGACGCGGCCATCGGCGATTGCCACGAGCGAGCATCTGCGGCAAGTCAACGTGAGACAATTGAGAATCTGCCTGGACGATCACGGCTTCAGGCTCTGCGAGTAATACAACTACGTCTGCGGCGGGACGAGATTGCGGACGGCGGGATTGGCTCGACGGGACGAGTGAGGGCGGACTAACGGCAAATAGAACCTTTGAGTATATTTGGTGGCCGATCGAACAATTCCTTTCATCCTAGTCCAAATACATCATGACGGATAGAGTTAAACTTCTTATCCAAAAACGTACTTCTTTAAAGGCTCAAATTACCAATTTAACGAATCTCGTGGAAAGGGGTTAATATGCTAGAGCCACATTGAAAATGCGAATGGATCATGTCACGAGTTTTTATCATGCGTACGAGGAATTTAACGACGAGCTTACAGTATTAAATCCAGACGATAATTATAGAGACGAATTTAATAATGTGCAAGAGAAATTTTATTCCCTCGCGGGGAAGGTCGAAGAGATAATTAATCCCAATATACCCGCCGCGAGTGCTAATACTTCGAGCGTCGCAACAATCTCCAGCGATTCCGGGACGATGGTCGTTGCGAAGCGGCAGATGAACCTGCCGATAGCGTCTTTGCCTTGTTTGATGGCCGTTACGAGAACTGGCTGTCATTCAAGAATTCATTTCTCGCTATGATAGATACCCGTACAGACTTAAGTGATGTAGAAAAACTTCAATATTTAAAATCGACATTAATCGACGACGCAGCTAACAAATTAAAAATTCTATCGATTGAAGGATCGAATTATTGTAAGGCCTGGGAGCTGTTAAAGCGTGCTTACGAAGTAAAGCGAATTTTGATATCGCGTCATCTTTCCTTGTTGATAAATTTACCTGCATTGGAAAGGGAAACCACCAACAGCTTATCGAAGTTAGCTGATGACGCGCAACAACACGTGACATCCTTGAACGCGTTAGGCGTCGTCGTAAATTCTGAGATATTAGTAAATTTGATAGAAGGCAAATTATCGAAAATTACCGCCGAAAAATGGGAGGAAACTCTCGATCGCGACGAGTTTCCAAAGATAGACGAATTATATGAATTTCTATACCGTACTGCAGTCCGAGTATCTAAACGATCGCGAATAGAAGACCATAAACGAGACGACAACAAGTATTTTCCTCCTGCCAAAAGGGGGCGAATTCTTAACAAGGTTTTGTTGGTGAACATGACAAATAATTGCGTAGCATGTAAGAATAAAAAACATCCATTATTCCAATGTGACAAATTCAAACAACTAGACGTGTCCAAGCGCGTGGAGGTCGTGAAGCGAAATTGTGTTGTAATTGCCTACATTCCCATCGAGGGAAAATCTATAATTATAGCAATTGCACTATTTGCCAAAGAAGACACAACACTCTTTTACATTTCGACAAGCGTCCGACAATGTCAACAGTCACCGAAGCAGGGGACGCTGGAATAACGAGAAACGAATGATTAAAGAGCGACGGACGTGCCAGCGCGCGACACTCCGCAGAGATGTTACCAATACACGAGCCGCAATTAATGACAATCACAACGATATTTGTGAGAAATCGCGAAGGCAAATTAATTAAATGTCGAGCATTATTAGATACTCGTGCTACCATTAACTTTATTTCTGAAAACTTTGCAAAACGTTTAGAGCTTCCTATCATATCATGCACATTATCGATCGACGCGATTAATTCGATGGGCACAGTATCGAAGGTACTTGTTCAAATTATTATCAAATCTGTATACAACGAGTTTAGCAAGCCTTTGACATGTTTATTGATTCCAACAATCGCAGATTCGATTCCGTCAGAAATGTTTCCGCGAGATTCCATCAAAATCCCATGTAATGTTCAATTAGCAGACCCAGAATTTCATTTGCCGCGTCCGGTTGATGTATTAATTGGGGCAGGATCAACGTTGTCAATGTTTTCGGTTTGTCCCGAGAGGGTCATGATCTCTATTTACAAAAAACGCGACTTGGTTGGGTTGTCGCAGGGGGAGTGCCAATGCGAAAGGGTTTAAGGGGCGCGTCATGTCGATTGACTAACTTAGATCAACAAATTGCCAATTTCTGGACAATCGAAGAAATGAACACGGACGTGTCGAAATCTGCTGAGGATGCTGAATGCGAAGCACATTTCGTAGAGAATACCGAGCGCGATGAAAACGGTCGCTATGTGGTACGATTATCTTTTCGGAAGGGCGGCAAGCGACTCGGCGATTCGCGAAACACGGCTCTCAGACGTTTGCAATCTCTCGAGCAGAAACTCGAATCAGACATTAAAATCTGACATTAAAAATTACTTATTCGCATGTTATACAAGAATATTTAGATTTAAATCAGATGTCTTTGGTCGATGATCCATTAGAGGACGGGTTTTATATGCCGCATCACGCAATAGTAAAACCTTCGAGCAACACAACAAAGATCCGCGTAGTATTCGACGCGTCGAAAACGAGTATTGGCTCGTCATTGAATGATATATTAATACGAGTACTGGCTCGTCATTGAATGATATATTAATGATAGGGCCTACTATTCAGGAACCGTTATTTGCGCATCTAGTGTGATTCCGTATGTACAGATATGTCCTCACCGCCGATATCGAAAAAATGTACAGACAAATTTTATTATATGAGGAAGATCGGATATATCAACGCATACTTTGGCGTCAAGACGATCAAATTAAGACCTTTCAACTGAACACTCTAACGTTCGGCGTTTCTTCAGCGCCATATCTTGCCACACGAATAATTAAAAAACTCGCGATCGACGAGGGCTATGCGTACCTTCGAGCTGCAAGAGTTCTTGAAAAACACTTATACGTGGACGATTTACTGACCGGCGTTGATACAATATCTGAGGCTCTCACGTTGTGCAACGTAACTACCTTATTAGCGCGAGGCGGTTTCAATATATGTCAATGGGCTTCGAACGATAAACGAGTTATCGAAGATTTTCCACCCGAAGCAATAAACCCAAGGTTTATATTAGATAAAGATGGCCCGTTGCATATCTTAGGTTTGTCCTGGTACGCATCCAATGACATGCTGCGTTATTCCGTACGTTCCGTTGAACACAGCAAGGGAGTCACGAAACGTCACATTCTTTCAGAAATAGCAAGGATCTACGATCCATTAGGTCTCCTCGGTCCAATCATTCTACATGCGAAAAAATTAATGCAAACCCTGTGGCAATGCAAATTAGAGTGAAACGAATCTGTTCCTTCTAGCATATACACCGCATGGATAGAATTAACAACTCAGATGGGTTCAATTCGGACCCTGTCTATTGATCGTCAAATATTAATCGCAGACCACACCAATGTTCAAATCCACGGATTCTGTGACGCAAGTAATAGTGGTTACGGCGCCTGTCTATATATCCATTCGACTGATCGATATAATAATGTATGTTGTAAATTATTATGTGTGAAATCTCGCGTCGCGCCATTGAAATCCATAACCATACCTCGTCTTGAATCCGGAGCGCTTTTGCTGGCCAAACTCTATCACAAAGTACGTCAAGCAATAGAATTCTCCCCGGTTAAGAGTGTATGGTGCGACTCCATCGCACTATACTATCGCGTTGCATTGGCTAAAGACCTCGCCGCATTTTTTAAAAACGTACGTATCAAATCGCGTAGCCCAGATTCAAGAGATCACCAATCCAAAGGTTTGGCGACACGTTAATTCCGAAGACAATCTGGTCGACGCGCTATCAAGGGGTCGACTACCCAACGCATTCTTGAAAAACCAATTGTGGTTGTCTGATCCTTCATGGTTGGCAATGTCCGAGAATAGGTGGCCCAACAGGGTCATGATCTTGGACGAGATACCGGAGGTAAAAAAGGGCATCTGCTTAATAACAGCGAATCGTGATTGTAGTATCTTTAAAAAAATATTCGTCATATTCTAAACTATTACGAGTAATAGCGTTTTGCTTACGGATGAGACCGAAAAATGCATATCGCGGGCCTCTGTGTATTAAGGAAATAGACGAAGCGGAAACAAAAATAATAACTATCATACAAGCGGATTGTTTCTCAGATGAGCTAGCGAGGCTCATACAAGGAGGCAATCGGTAAAGGGAGATAGTATGGCAGCTCTGAATCCTTTTATCGACGAAGCAAGATTAATCCGCGTGGGAGGGCGACTCAAAATGTCAGAATTAAAATTTTCACAAAAACATCCCATTCTATTGCCGAGTCGACATTTCTTGACAGATCTTATCATCAGAGAAACACATGAAAGATACTACCACGCCGGTAGTCAAATGACTTTATATACAATTAGACAGAAATTTTGGCCACTTGACGGTCGCAATCAGGTTCGCAAAGTCGTGCGTTCGTGTGTCCGCTACTTCCGATTCTGTGCGATAATAAAACGAGTACACGAGGCCGAGTCCTCAAACATTTCTATATTACACGGGGCCGAATCCTCAAACATTTCCGCACCACATGAGGCCGAGTCCTCAACCATTTCCGTACTATCGAGGCCGAGTCCTCGATCATTCACGTTTATCGCTAGATGGGGTATTCCGTCGCGTATTTACTCCGACAACGGAACCAATTTCAGAAGTGCCAACAACCAATTCCGAGAACTATACATGCTTCTTAATTCGGACGAACACAAAAATATGATAAATCGATTTTCAACAGACTATCGCATCACGTGGCACTTTATTCCTCCTGTGGCCCCATATTTCGGCGGATTATGGGAAGCCACTGTAAAATCGTTTAAGCATCACTTTAGGCGCGTTGTTGGTGAGCTTCTATTTATCTTTGAAGAACTAAACACGTTCGCTATCGAAGTAGAAGGAATATTGAATTCGAGACCTATTTCCGCTCTATCCTCAGACCCGAATGACCTCCTTGTCCTGACACCCGCTCATTGCTTGATCGGTGGACCGTTAATCAGTATGCCCGAGCTTGATCTAATTGATGTCCCAGCAAATCATTTGTCTACCTAGCAACACATCACCAAGGTTCGTCAGGACTTTTGGGCACGTTGGAGTTTAGAATATCTCAACGAACTCCAGATCCGTCACAAATGGACTAAGAACGGCAACAAAATCGACGTCGGAGCGATTGTACTCATCAAAGACAAAGGCCTCCCGTGCACACAGTGGGCACTGGGACGAATCATATAAGTCCACCCCGGCGAAGACGGAATAACGCGAGCCGCTACTGTGAAAACGACAACTGGAACAATGCAGAGAACAGTGAAGTGTCTGTGTCCACTTCCTATCGAATCATAAGATCATGACTGTCGCGAATCACGAACGTTTCACGATTGAATGTATTTGATCGGTATCCTCTCAACGGGGGAATATGTTGCGACGGAATAGCGGCTAGAATCATATCACAAGACGCCGCCGCAGACGTATCTCAAAAATACACATATCGCGACTCTCTTTGTATTCTTGCCCTTGTTTATACCCTTGCCCTTGTTTATCGTTACCACGTTTCGCAGCTCGAGGAACTTCGCGACAAGGACAGAACGCCGCCACAGGATCGGGCTGTGATTGGCTGGATTGCAGTTTCCGATTTTGTTATATATATAAGCTCGCATCTGAATACGGGCAGATCGAGTTTGACGAGCGTGATACACGGATCCGTGCGATAAGAGATAGTCTGTGAGGCCGAGTCCTCAGACATTTCAGTATCAAGCAAGGCCGAGTCCTCGATCATTACCATGTGAGAATAATATATTCAGAAAGTATTCGAGGCAACCTCCCGTCTACAAACGTGCCTGCAACGAATTGTTGGGCGCGACAGTTATTGTTTATTAAAAAGTTATATACTGAAAAAATTTGAAAAATATGTTAATTTTTATCAGTGTATCAACATATAGATTTGAATTAAACTTCGTGCAGAAAGTAAACTCATGTGGAACCTCGCTTCGCATTGAAATGTATGCTTGGAAACAGTTCCGCCCCTGCCCCCTACGGGAGGACTCTATTACTAAAAGATCTAACCTAACTCAATCTGTATCATAGATCAATTAAATATTTTAGCAATTTATCTTTATCATCGATAACGTTGAGAAACTCGTGAAGACGCATGTTGACGATACAAACGACGCACGATTAATACCTAATGAATAAACTAAAATAAACTGAAAGATACCATCAAAATATAAATACTACCTTGAAATGACATATATATGTATGTATGTATACTATCCATCATATATAAGGTGTTATATAAACAGAATAATAACATTTCAAAATTAAACTTTATGTAAGTATATCTCGAAAACTAAATGAGATCGCCGATTAATTTATAAGGAAAAGTTGATCAGTACTCTCACCTTTATAACATACATCAAGATCAAGATCATCGGAGCTGTGTCCCTTAATGTAAATAAATATGGTCGTTCCATATACCGCATCAACTATTGTTGTACGCTCCAGTTTGTAAATATTCTTGAGTGTTACATATCTATTACAAATGATATTTGTTACAAAGAAATGGTATCGCAAGTTCAGATTTCCTCCTTCTCCAGAATCCTGTCACTGACATCATTAGCGAGTTATTCCACGACGCCGAGAAAGATGCACCGTTACGATATAAAAGAGAAAAATATTGGTATTTAACTAATCTTTTTTATACTATTCTCACAATTAGTGGAGTCGGTTTTATTTCTCACGAGAATCATAAATTTATATTTATTACTATAGTCATAAAGGCATTAAATATATAGCATAAATATGAATACCTCTTCTTGCAATTTTTACATATTAAAAAAAAAATTTGCTTTGTTACGACTAAATATTATAGAATATATTTAAAATTAATATAAATAATAATTTAATTAAGCTTCAATTTGTATTTAAGATCAATATTTAATAACATAATTATCATTGAGCGTGAGCGTATTTGTGCATATATATATATTATAGTATAAATAAATTAATAATTATTTTACTATGGAGAAAAATCCTAGTTTTGTCACAAAGGCATCTCCGAAGACAAAAAGTAACAATTTCAATTTACCTAGCTTCAATTTACATTCATTAGAATATAACGACATCCGACTCACCCCCCTCAATTATTAACAATGTTACATCCCCGACCGATCAACCGTCGGGGCGCCGACACGGCGATTCTTCCGCGATCCCATCGTCGCGAAAAGCCCGTCGAACAGCGGACGCGGCAAACCGAAGATCACGCGGCTTCACGTGCGCGCCGCGTGGAACAACACGCACACGGTAAGGCCACCGCCGCCGGCCCCGCTACAAACCGCGCCACCGAACATCCTCGCGGAATTCCCGAGCACGTTCGGCGAATTATCGCGAGGATTCCGACAAAGACATCCCCCGGAACTACCCCGACCCGAGTTCGACCGACCCGCACCCGACGACTCCCGACCGATGGCCGGCTCGGGTATATTAGGCGATTCCGGGAGATAATCGAGACCTATCTCCGGCGAGACAGTAACCAGTCCAGTACTGCTCTCGATATTCCCAGTCATCTCCAAAAGCGATCTAGGATGCTACCTATCGTGCCAGGAACTTCTGGCCGATCGCTCCTCTAAATCCACCAGCGCACAAGTATTCACAGAGGAGCTCCTCAATCTGGGCTCCACAAAGAAAGCCCTTGTGTACATTTTCCTCTGACGATCGAAAAGCAGGGAGCTTCCTGCATTCGAGCCGTCATAGCACTACACACAGCCGATCCGTCATAGTACTACACACAGTTGATCCGTCAAAACAAGACGGCCGAACCCCCCGCGCTCCTTCGCGCCCGCGCCGCGCCTATCAAGGAACGCGTCGAATTCAGAGAACCGACCGCGAGCAAGCGATTATATATAATACTTAGAAACCGCGCGTCTTTTCGCCGTACCAACGGCGAAATACCGAAAGGTACATGTAAATACTGTACATACAAAAACCACAGCCAGTCGGCATTGTAAATATAAACTTAGCTATATAAAGAGACACGATATTTTATTTCTCGTACCGAATCCTGACCATATCCGACGCTATCCTGCAAAACTCACTCGACGCGGAGATAGAGACGTTTTAAGAAGATGCTTTTCGTTCTGTATAATTAGTCCTGACTAATATTGAATTTACTTTAGATTTCCATACATAATTTCCGGATATTATGCTGACAAAGAAAGGCGAGCAATGGTTCGCGGACTGAATCGTTGCAGCGGATATGTATATGGATCTACTTGGAAGTCTTCATGAAAGTAAAGACGAGGTCCTGCTCCGCTTGGACAAGCTACTTCGTCAGCAAGATACATCGTTTATCTATTATATATTAGGTGTACAAAAAAGTTCTGAGCTTTTTTTGTAAAATTCAATCTTTATTCAAAAACAAACAAAAAAATATTAATAAGCGAAATATATAAAGCGAAATATTCCCCGTTTGCATCAATGATCTTTTGTCATCTTTCGGGTAGCTTGCGAATTCCTTGACGATAGAAGCTCACCGGCTTCGAAGCGATAAAGTCATCAATGAATTTTCGTATCTCTTCAAATCTCACGAAATGTGTATCAGCTAAATGATGCTGAAGCGACCGGAATAGGTAGTAATCGGAAGGCGCCATGTCTGGGCTTTACGCCGCGTGCGGGAGAAGTTCCCGACCCAAAGATATGGTCCTGAGTCGCTTTCGCAACATATGGTCGAGCATTGTCATGAAGCAAGATCACTTTACGACGTTCTTAGCCAGTAAATGGCTCTCTTTTCTTCTAATGCATCGCTCAAATTGGTCAATTGTTGTTAGCAGCAGTCTGCCATGATTGTTTCACCCGGTTGTAACAACTCGTAATACAACACACCTTTCCAATCCCACCAGATACAGAGCAAAACCTTTTTGACGTGGATATTGGGCTTTGGCGTCGATGTCGAAGGTTGACCAGGGTCAATCCATGATTTTCTACGTTTAGAGTTATCATAAAGAATCCACTTTTCATCGCCTGTAATGATTTTGTGCAGAAAATCTTTTTTCCGGAACTTTGAAAGCAAAGTGAGTGCAGTGTCACGCCGACGATTTTTGTTGTTTTCGGACAATTCATGCGGAACCCATCTGCCTTCCTTCTGAACCTTTCCCATCGTATGTAAACGTACGAAAATGGTTTGTTGCGTAACGCCAAGCTGTTCTGCAAGCTCCTTTTCAGTTTGCGCAGAGTTTATATCCAGCAGTGCTTCCAATTCGTCCGTTTCAATCTTTTGCGTCCAGCACGCGGTTCATCTTCAAGACTGAATCTCCTTGGCGAAATTTTTGATACCATCTTTTACATGTAGTATGACTTACAGCATTCTCTCCATATGCAGCACAAATTATTGTGGCTTCAGCAGTATTTTTCTTCAGATGAAACGCGAAATGGATGGAAAATCGAATATGCTCTTTTGTTATTGTCATCGTGAATATTACTGATTTTTGAGGTTATGCCATCAAACTTCAGCCTAAACCGTATGGCATTTTAGAAGCCAAATGTCAACGCTTTAAAACTGCAAAAGAGCGAGAAGATATATAAATTGTTATTTCGGTTGTATGAAATCTAAAGCTCAGAACTTTTTTGTACACCTAATAATTTGCGTTTAAATTCTTTCCATTCTATATTCGCTTGGAAAATCTGGTGTCGAATCTAACTATTTGACTTGGATTTTTTGTTTACATTGAATCTTGTTTGCACTTATTATCTTAAAATTATCACATTTAAGAAAAAGCAAATCTTTTATTTTTGAATTTAATATTACATGCGCATACTTATACGCACATGCATACGCACACAACAAGCACACGTACAAACATGTACACATAATTTTATTTAATATTTAATATTTTAATATTTTTATTTAATATTTTATTAACATTTGAAAATAGAAAGCACAAACAGGTTATTGAATCATTTTTGTACACACAAATAAGTTTTTCAACAGTTATTAAAATTTTCTACCAAACATAGTTTTATCATTTTTTTGAATATTACTTTGGGAGTTATAAAGGGTTTTA